CCCATGGGCTCAACTAGGGGAAAAAAGTAAAATCATCTGGCCCCGACTGCCACATTGATTGAATGCCTAATAAGTGATGCTAAGTTTGGCAATAGCCCATTATTTGAAATGCTTGGAATTGTATTTGCCCCCAGTGGAATTGACTAAGAAAAAAAAGAAAATATAATGTATAATGATATATTTGGCATTGGTCTTATAGATGAGGTCAACATCCTTATTGAGAGAGTTGGCTGTTTTCCATAGACGAAATCACCCGAAAAAGAATTAGGCGCACATGAGAATCTAAGGATGGAGTTTCAAAGGCTGGAGACAATCAGCTTGGTGGAAATATAAGATGCGGGTGCTATGAAGGTGAATGAATCTTGTCTGGCCTTGAGGAGTAGGTATTGGGCTAAGTTTTGGTCTTGTTTTTTTAAAGCTTCCGTCATTTCTAAGTTACCTATTAACTTAAGGGTTATAAAATGTGCCAGTCAAGAGAGCTCCTATCTTCAGAAAATCGCAGATCTTTGATGTGGTGCAATGTTTTTAGTAATAAGCATCCCGCTATACTCAGAAAATGACCTTAGAGTTGTAGTGGTAATAACAACAACAAAAATAGTGATGATAATAATAATAAAAAACAGCTACCACTTGCGTGGCATTTTAGCATTTATACAATACTTGGCAGAACACTTTCCATACATTCCCCCAGTTGCTCCTGACAAGCTAGTGAAGTGGGTGCTATGATTATGCTCATTCTATGGAGGAAAAAACAGAAGTTCATAAAAGGAAGTGACTTGCCATGCGCCATGCAGCTAAGCTTCAAATGTGCAGTTGGAACCCAGGTCCTCATAACTTCAAGACTGATATCCTTTCCATTCTACTGCTTTACCTCTCAGTAGGTGAAGATGGTTAGAGAATGAAGCCAAATGTTAACTTTGAGGGAACTAGTTGTGTTCAGTGTAAATTAAAATATGGAAATCTGCCCCCCCACTCCGTTCCCACCGTCAGGCTAACCCCTCCAAGTCGTGAAATCAAAAGTGTATTCCTGCATCTTTTTTTTTCTTGATGCTTTAGCTTCTAGAAAATTTGAGCCAGCTTTTTTGGTAAGGATGTTGACCTTAGCCACACCCTCAGTGCCAAATATGTCCTTATGCATTGCATTTCTTTTTTCTTTGACAAATATTCATTTAATATGTAACAAGTATTTAACAAATATCTAACAATATTTAACAAATATTTATTTGGACTTTTACACTGAGGTAAATAGGGTAGTGGAAAACATATTGTACTGATACTTTGTGATTGATTAAAGAAGACTAAATTGGTACCTTTTAAACATACAGAGAGAGAGTTACTCTCCTTCTGTAAGGAACTCTCCCTTGTAACAAAGAAGTACAACAAATTGATATACTGTCCACATCTGGCAATGTATGCCTCATTACACCCACATAGGCCACCATGTCTCTGAAAGGAGGCAGGAGACACACTTCATATCAGACATGAGTGGTCCCTGTACTGATCAGAGTTCTTCACTGTATTTCTTGGAAAGTCCACTTCAGTGACCCAGTTTGCAGACCTTTAGGACCTTAGGCTTGGTTTTCGTATGAAATTCGGTGAGTTTTCCTACTACTTTTATATAGAATGGGAAAAAGACCCACCAGGAGGGACATTGATGAACAAAGTTGATTTAACTTGGCATTTTTAATAGATTGCAATATCTTGGAGATTTTAATTTCAAGAGATACTTAATTCTGTTTTGCCAAGATGGCCTCCTGTGCTCAGGCCTACATTCTTGAAATGTATACATACAAAGTTGAAAAAGTTATTAATAAAATTAAAATTATCCTTATTTACCTGTACAAGCTTTTAGTTGCTTTTTAAGGGCTTGGGGCTTCCCTAGAAAGCTCTAGTAGTAAATCCGTAAAGTCAGCATTGTAATTGTATATGCAACAATAATCATTTAGCTATGTGTATCATACACAAAAGAACAAGTAATACAATTCCCCTTGTACTCTGGATATGTGCCAAAAGGAAGAAGAGGCATTCTGTGAAAGGCAGAGAGTTGCAGCCTGCTCTAGTGGGTACACTCCGTGTTTGGATTCAGAAAGCCCTGGGCTCAAATCCTACCAATGCCCCTGGCTCAGGGACTGTGAGTGCTCCAGCAGCTCTGTAATGATACAGATACAGAGGAGTCCTTGATTTGTGCTGCTGGAAGGACATTCAATGCCTAGAGTGACCCACATTAATGAAATCATAGGTTTGGGCCCTCTCTCCATTCCCCACATGGATTCAGCAGACCCAGCCCTGCTCCCTGACAACCTGTGTGGACTTGGATGAGTGGTTTCACTTCTTTGGGGTTCAGCCACCTCATCTGTGAAAAGGAATAGCTTTAGGTCATATGATCTCCAAAGTCCACATTTAGTTCTGACTCTCGTCTGTGAGACTGTGAGAAAGCAGAGTTAGGAGCTGGTCATTGCAGAAGTGCTGAAGACACTGTGCGGAAACCAGAAGGTTCTGGGTCCCTCCTTAGCCCTGGCCGGCTATGTGACCTTGGTCAAATGACCTGACTCTCTAGTCCTTGGGTTTTTCTCAAGAAAATAAGGACTAGATAACACCAAAGATTCCTTCTAACATTATCATTCTATGATCTGTAACTCTGAGTCTGTAATGCGATGTAGTGAGCACCAAATTGTCCCCCTTCCCTGAATTCAAAATTGATGTGATATCCAACAACATAGCGTGGGAAGGGGCAGCTAGGTAGCGCAGTGGATGGAGCTCTGGCCTTGGAATGAGGAGGACCTGAGTTCAAATGTGACCTCAGACACATGACACTTACTAGCTGTGCGACCCTGAGCAAGTCACTTAACCCTGGTTGCCTCACCAAAAGGCAAAAAAAAAAAAAACACATAGCTTGGAAAGCCAAGATCTCATAGCTGCTCTCCTTCCAGGATTCCCTCTGTTTCTTGATGACTGTTTACTTTTTTCTATATTTTGGAGTTGTCTTGGTGGGATTCCATAGGAGAAAGGAAGGATATTGTAAATACCTGTAAATCACCTCCAGTCTAATTTTACAGCTTTTCTCCTGCCCACACTGACTTTTTTCCCTAAAAAAGGATGGAGCATGTGTACAAAGCAAATCGAACAGCCTTAATCAAAATCATCATAACAACTAGCAATTATAGAGCGCTTTAAGATTTGCAAAGCACTTTACATACATTACTGAATTTGAGCCTGACAAAAACCCTGTGAGGTAGGTGCTATCATCATCATCATCATCATCATTATTCCCATTTTACAGATGAAGAAACTGAGACTGAGAAAGGTTAGGTGACTTGTCCAGGGTGACCCAGCTAGTAAGTGCCTGAGTCAGAATTTGAACTCAGGTCTTCCTGACTCCAGGCCCAGTTCTACTCACTCTGCCACCTAGCTGCTTCAAATTGCAAATCAAGTTGTGTTACATAAAGTGCTATAAAATGTTAATTATTAATCTTTTGCTACATTCCAAATCTTGCATAATCAGGATGGGTTCTGAAGTGGGGTGAGAGAGCATGTTGTATTTTCAGCAGGGTGGCAGAAGAGCCTGGCATGCTATGGGCACATAATGCATGTTGGTTGATTGATTAGAGGAGCGAATGTTGGGGCAGGGAAAGGGGGTCCACATGTATATGCAAGGAAGATGGTGGCATGGAAATGGAACTGAATTTGGAGTCAGAAGACTTGGTTAAATTCTGGCATCACTTTTTGTGTCTGTGTGACCTTAACTATTCCAAGCCTCAGTTTCCTATTCTGTAAAATAAGGGCATTGGACTAGATGACCTCTGAGGTCCTTTTCTGATCTAAATCTATGATTCCATGTTATTGACACAAAGACCTCTTGGTTTGAAGGGAATTGTTTCCCCATTTAACTTTGTTTAGACTAGTTGACTAAGAGAGAGAAAATCTCATTGTCTCATCGATCAATCAAAAAGCATTTTATCAAGCACCTATGCGCCAGATGCTGTTGTAAGTGCTGGAGTTACAAAGAAAGGAGATAGATAGAGAGATAGATAGATAGATAGATAGATAGATAGATAGATAGATAGATAGATAGATAGATAGATGATAGATAGATAGATAGATGATAGATAGATAGATAGATAGATAGATAGATAGATAGATAGATAGATGCTAGATAGATAGATAGATAGATGATAGATAGATAGATAGATAGATGATAGATGATAGATAGATAGATAGATAGATAGATAGATAGATAGATAGATAGATAGATAGATAGATGATAGATAGATAGATAGATAGATGATAGATGATAGATAGATAGATAGATAGATAGATAGATAGATGATAGATAGATAGATAGATAGATAGATAGATAGATAGATAGATGCTAGATAGATAGATAGATAGATAGATGATAGATAGATAGATAGATAGATGATAGATGATAGATAGATAGATAGATAGATAGATAGATAGATAGATAGATAGATGATAGGTAGATAGATAGATAGATGATAGATAGATAGATAGATAGATAGATAGATAGATAGATAGATAGATAGATAGATAGATAGATATAGCCCCTGCCTTCAAGGAGTTTGCATTCCAATGGGGAAGCTTATGTGCAAATTACCAGGTACATACAAGATGTGTGCAATGTAGATGGAATGCAGTCTAAGAGGTGAAGGGGCTAGCACATTGGTGGACTGGGAAAAACTTTCTGTAGAATCACCTTGTCCCCTCCTGCCAAAGACTGGGTCAAGATAATGACAACAATCCCAGAGATATGATGAAATGAAATAACAGATTTCTGATTTCAGAGAAGGGGCCAGCCCAGGGCACCAAGCCAAAGCACCTCATGTTTCACTTCAGCCTCCCACAAACATTTCTGCCGCCTTTGTTATGAATCAGCCACGTGGGCATAATTCCCTTCTAATGTTACAGACCTAAGAAACTTAGCAGTGAGGTCGAGCATGGTGCACTTATCGGTACCTTTGGTTCTGTTTCCAAAATTCTAGGCACAGAAAAATGAGAGAGAATCTATCAGGCAGAAGTTGGCGCTTGGGAGTTTCTTTGATGATGGCCCGGGAATTTATACCAGCTGCAGCAAAAGTGGGAAACCAAGCCTTTCCTCCCGGTGAGTCACCTGTTCCTTGGAATCACTGTCTCTGATATGTCTATTTGCACGTGTACCCCTGCCCAATCAGTTTTTACATCTGCCTAAAGTTGGACAGAATATGTCTCAAGTGAAAAACGACCTTGAAGAAGCTTTGAGTAATGGTATCCTTCGAGTGGCCGTCTCAATTCAAGGTGGTTTACTGGGTTGTTGGGTTGTGTTGTTGTTGTTGTTGTTGTTTTAATTTTTCTTTTCTAGTGGCCAAGTTGTCTGAGGTCAGCTTTCTATCTTTCACTTTTCTAGACCTATTTCAGTTATGACTTAGTATTTGCCAGGATGGAATTGAGCCACCCTGAGGCAGCCACAGAAGCAGCCAAAGCAAGGTGGCAGCCCACCAACATTTCCATTAAGCCCTCCCGAAGCTGCCAGCATCGTCCATGCAATGCTGTGGATGGCAGGGAATGGAGGTGATTCTAAGAACTCCAGGGTCCAGGCTCAGAGTTACATTGAGACTCTCATTCTCACTTGTCCCCAGGCTGATTTTCTTGAAGGATCATTTGAATTTATTTAAAGTTCTAAAGTCCTTGGGGAGCAGTCAGTGCAAAGAGTGCAGAAGCAGCTGGGGTGCGGGCACTGACATCACCTGTACTCCTTCAGCAAAGTGGAAACAAATGATCTCAGCAACTAATTCACAAGAGGAAATAATGAAAATGAGCAGCTCCCCTATGGTGTGGCTTCCCACCCCCATTTCCAGCTGCCTCCTGGTGTCCCTGGGGTCCCACAGGATCCTTGTACCCTGTGGTCCCTCTCGCCACCTACGCTCCCTAGCTGAATTTGTAAACCCATTCAGTTAGGAGTTTGGATTTGTCAGGGTAGAACTGAGTCACCTGCGGTTCAAGTACTGCTTGGATGAGGCCCCTGAATACCTTTTTTTAAGAGGAAATCAGAACTAAGTGACTGGCCCAGGGTCACACAACTAATAAGTGTCTGGGGTCAAATTTGAACTCAGGTCCTCCTGACTCCATGGCCTTTGCTCTGTCAACTGCGGCACCCAGATACCTTGGGTTTTTCTTTTCTTTTTCTTTTCTTTTCTTTACCCCCACATGCCTTTTAAAGCAGTTAGATGGCACAGTGGATAGAGCATTAGACTTGGAGTCAGGAAGACCTCAGTTCAAATCCTTCCTCAGACACTTAACAACTGTGTGACTCTAGGCAAGTCATTTAATCTCACTTAAAATCAGTTTCTTCAGGTGTAAAATAGAAATGATAATAGCACCCACACCGCAGGGCTAAGATGAGGCTCAAATGATATAACATGTGAAGGGCTCTATAAATGCTGGTTATTATTGATAATGTTATTATTTTTATGAAGCTTGCCCTTGGCACCAACATCCCCGTTACATCTTTGACTGGCCTTGATTTATGTGGCTGCCCAATCTTTTGTTCTTCCCTTTGGTTTTTTTTTAAAGACCATTACTTTAAGACAACTCTTTAAATATACTGTGATGGGTTGTACTTCTTCCAAATGGTGGTCCTTATTGTAAACAAAGACCCTAGGTCCACAAATCCTGAGCTGAAAAGGAACTCCAAGGTTGTCTGGTCCAGTCTCCTCCTTTTCCAGATGAGGAAGATGAGGAAGGCCTAGGGAGCTTACATGAGTGCCCAAGGACAGACAAGTGGGAAGGGTCAGAGGTGAGATCCAAACCTGGGTCCTCTGACTCTGTTCCAGAGCTTGAAGGTGATAGCAATGGTGAGGAGATGCTCCTTTCACCTTGAGTTTCTAGATCCCTCTTCAACTTAGAAACTCTCCCTTTTTCCTCCAAGGTCCTCATAAAGAAAAATAAAATGTTCTTTATGAATGGAAGCCATTATGAAACCATTCTGCCATTTGGGGGCAGATTGTAGCAAGGTACAATAACGAAAAAATCTCTGGAGTCCACAGACCTGGATTATCCTCTTGTAACGGTTGTAACCTTGGGCTTTATCTCCTCATCTTTCTGGCCTCAGTTTCCTCATTTGTAGAATGAGGGGACTGATCTTTCCTAATTCTTTAGTTCCACAGCTCTGTGAGAGCCATGATGGATTCATCAGTGTGGGCGCTCCTTCCACCAGGGCTAATCTCACCTCACCCTCCCCTTCTCCTCCCTGTCCTTCCGTATCCTCCATAGACCATTCTTGTAAAGATTTTATGGAGATGGGAAAGTAGGTGTATGGATTAGCAGTTGCTGATGTCTTCTAATCTAATTCATCTTTGTTTTTCAATAATACCATTCATGATCTGTTCCATTCTTTTGGAATCTTTACCTCTTTGGAATATATATTAAAGATAAATGCCTGATGACCTTAAAAAGTCACCTCTAAAACAAGTTCCTTCTGTGCGTGCTCAGTCGATCTAGTTGCCCTTCCATGCGTTATCTCCACGTACAAGCAGAAGTGGTAGAGTTCAGACGTAATTGCTTGACAACCATCATGTTCGATGAGGCTAGATCATTATAAGCATTCTGACAAATTCGTTTTGTTTCAGACTCTCTTGTCATCTATTCATAGATTTCAAACTGAGGGAAACCTTTAGGGCCATTTCATCCAACCCTTTCATTTTGCAGTTGGGAACTGAAGAGGGCAATTAACTTGCCCAAAGCCATGCAATGGCAATGCTTGGCTTAAACCCAGATCTTCTGACTCCAAAGCCTGTGTTCTTTCCCTCACATCCACTCTCACAACACGTTTTGAGAAGAAATCAGCCTCTGTGGATCTCATTCTGGATAAAATGTCTCATATTCTGGGTTATTTATCTCCCTTGAAATTGTTTCTACCTTCTAGAAGCAGGGTCTAGTTACATTCCCACCATCTACCAACCGAACATATCATAGACTGTGTTATGGCCCTTTTAGACAATCCAACAAGGTTATTACTTTTAAGGCTGTATATCATCAGCTCTGCGTCGGTTCTTTGTGTTGAAGCTATGATACGTCTGTAAAGAATGTAAGAGGCTCTTGTTCTCCGGGGCCGTTAGGAATTAGACAGGATTGTATTCAAAGAATAGAAATTATGGTTAATAACTCCCAGTGATAATCCCTGGGCTTCTATTCCATATTTATGGGTAATTCTTCTGCCTTATAGGTGTATGTTAAGCATTTTAAGGAATATTAACACTTTTAGTTCACTTTCAAGCAAAACCTGGGAAATAGATTAATGTCATATATGACTGAATCTCTCCCCAGAGGCCTTGAAGAGCCCAGTGGAAACTTGAAGCTTTGTATGAGTCAGAACCACCTATATGCAAAGATACACAGAGAGACAGAGAGAGAAAGAGGAGAGGAGAGAAGAGAGATACAGAGGCAGAGAAACAAAGGCAGAGAGAGACAGAGTCAGAGAGAGGCAGAGACAGAGAGAGAGAAAGATGGAGAGATAGAGAAGAGAGAGAGAGAGAGACAGAAAGGAGAGAGAGTGACAGAGTGACAGGGAAAGAGAGAGACAGAGAGAGAGAAAGATGGGGAGATAGAGAAGAGAGAGAGAGACAGAAAGGAGAGAGAGTGACAGAGTGACAGGGAAAGAGAGAGACAGAGAAAGAGGAGAGAGAGAGATGGGGAAGAAAGAGAGGAGAGAAGAGGAGAGGACAGAGAGACATAGAGAGAGGAGAGAGATTCAGACAGAGAGAGAGGGAGAGAGAGAACCAACTATATTTAAGGCAATAGCTCACACTTTATAATAATGAGGCAGAGAAATTAATGGTCAACAAATTGATGACTTACTTGAACCTGCCTGGGACAGCCTTTCTTCATCTGCAAAATGAGTAGGTTGGATTAGCTTTTTGGTCTAAGAAAACTTTTACTCCCTTAAAAATTATTGAGCCCCCCCCAAGAACTTTATGTGGGTTATATGTACCATATTAAAAATTAAAATGTCTCACTCTTGTTATGAAAATTGTTTTGATCTATTGGGCCCCGAAAGGGTCTGGGACCCACAGGAGTCCAGGGTCCCCAGACCATATTTTGAGAAGCTCCGGATTAAAGGAATGTCAAAGGTCCCTTCTGCCACCAAGACTTGGTCATTCTTCTGATGAAATGCGCCCAAGTTACAATCAAGAATAGGCACATTCTGCTGGAGCATAGCTTGAGCAAGATGGCTGACATCACGGGGCTGTGTCTAATTTAGCTTACCAAGAACAAGGTTTATTTTAACTTTTTTAAAAATTCTTACTGATGGCATTGGTTTTGATGCCACCTTCATGTCCCAAGATGTCCCTCTTCCCTAGCCAGAGAGCTTTATCTTAGAAGAAAGAATTTATAAAATCATCTTAGCAAAAATAACCAATCTGGTCATCCAAGGATGACCAGATGTATAGTACTCCACATCCACGACCCCCCACCTCTACAGAGAAGAAGGGACACGCATTCCCCTTCCCTCTTCTGTAGATCCAAGCCGAGTCATTATAATTATCCAATATTCTGTTTTGGCTTCTGTTGCTGTTCTTTCCATTTCTATTGCTAGCTTCCTGGTGTCTATTTTCCCCTCGTTTTGATTACTTCACTCTGGTATTTATATCAATTGCATTGACTATTGTCATTAAATTTGCATCTACTCTATAAGAATCCTGTTCAGGCAGCACCAGGGGCTTAGAGAGCGGCTCTTCCTGTGGTTTCTCTCGTTGCCTGGTCCGTGATGCCCTCTCCGTTGGTTTCCCTACCCGCTAGGCTCACCAGGATGTGGTGGCTCAGGAAGTGGTCTTTCTGTCAAGTCTAAAAGGTTGCATGATGTGAGTGGAAATGAAACTCGCCATAACCTCCAGGAGGACCTTGAATGGCCCACCAACGCTTGAGGAATGGGTACTTCCTCCATTCCTTGTCTCCCTCAACTCCGTAGCTTCCTTGCTTACCCTTCTGACTGCTCACTGAGTGAGGCTTTCCCCGAAAGGAGCAAAATCAGTCAATGCTTTTTAGAATTCTAAAAGCCATTCAATGAATGCTCTCAGCCAGGCCTTTAAAAAATTGCTCTGGCTTTGGTCATGCTTCTATGACCTA